AGATGTTATTTTGGCCAGAGTCCTTCTGTCTCCCACCACCTGCACTGGGTCCAGGGTGCATCCCAGAACAGAGCTGGCCTTCCTAATGAGTTTATCCAACCTCTTCCTCTCAGCTGCCGATAAACTGCTGCTCCAACATACAACACTGTAAAAAATGACAGATGTCACCACAGAGTCATAGAAGATCTTTAAAAGCGCTCCCTGGACTCCAAATAACCTCAGGCGCCTCAGCAGGTAGAGTCTGCTCTGACCCTTCCTGTAAATAGCATCATTTTTGAGGCTCCAGTCCGGTTTCTTATTGTTCCAGGTTATTATTGTTAGATGCAGTCCTGTCTCAGAGGATTGTCTTCTTCCACATTCTTCTGGTTTCATTGCATCATATAGATTTAAGCCTTTAACAGCTATCAAATAATTCCCCACATCTGAACCTAATTTGTTGTTAAAAGTGTAGTCCTGTTGCCTCATTAATTTGACTACTAATAATAGCCTCATAATATATCTGAGGTTTCTAACCTGTTCGTTTGAAATATTCTTCCTGGCAGTTACTTTTATACAAGCCATTGTGTCACTGGGATGTTCATTGGTGGATTTCTTTCTGTAAACTTCTCCAGATCTGTGCAGAATCTAACCTTAAACAGAAACATAAATACCAACCACAATCTTATAAAGCAGCAGGTAAAATATTATTGTAAATGACAGAGATTATTTCACAAATTATGCCAAAGATCCTGTTGACTGATTAGAAAATATTCATACACTATCGGCTAGCTTATATGCCTTTTCAGCCTGTGAGCTAAGCTAACAATTCAACACCACTTCTATTACACAACACAGTCTTTCACACCGCAGCCAGGTGAGTTGAACACATTATGTTTTCTTGCTAGTTAAGTTTTGCACATTGTCACTGCTGTAGTTTAATGTTTGTCAGTCCTCAGGTCCACACACTGGCCTTGGGCCATGAGCTGTTGTCTGTCTTGCCTGTTAGGAAGAAACACGTTTGCAGATAACTTCTGAAGCAACCTGTAGTACACTAATTTGGTGTTGTTCAAAGGTTGACAGCTATGCAGGCAAGTTTAAATGACTGTACTGTAGTGAGGTTTACAGACATGCACTATACTCAGCTTGTACAGAACAGGCTGTGGTGTTGATGGTCGCTGTGGGGTTACATCAAGCATAGCAGACATCAATACGTATTTAATATAATGAAGCTGATAAGATTCAC